AACTATCATTGTAGCCTTAGCATGTAATTGACCCTAGTACTTACAACCCAAATCTATTGATAATAGATTAGTTTTAGTACTTGTAACATAAGTTTCCACGGTACAACATGTCTTAAACTAAAACAAATCTAAAAATCTTCAAATGCAAAACAAATTAAACCTAATACCAAAACCTAATGCCATCTGAACACTCTGATAAATAGATAAAGGAAACAGACAAAATTCAAAAAGAGGAAGAATTTTATAAGCTTAGAAAGGATGCAAAATTTATAGAAAAAAAGTTAGATGATACGAAAAATGCACATATACTACAAAAAGTAAGTGTATAAATAGAGCTCAAGCCATTAGCGAAAACATTAAAGCTATGTGACCAATACAAAAGGGGAAGGTTGTTTATAGAACTTAAGAGAAATAAAAATTTAGGAACAATCAAATGTCACTCAGCCAAAGATAAAGCTCTAGAAGCTGTTACAACAAATACACACTGTTACAATCCAGTGCACGTACATTATCACAGATCTGAACACACACGCAGATACTTGCACTTGGACACATTAACGTAGATTCAATCTGATAGTTCATATAATGGACATATGGCCACGTAACTTCCAATTATTAAAAACTGAATCAGACGAATCTGTAAAAACATTATAAAAATATGAAATAAAAATTTGTAATTTAATTGTTATAAAATTGCATTATAATTAGCATGTGTGACAAATTGTGTGGCAAATACAAATTTCTTCTCAGCTGTCAAAAATGCATTCAGCATGTTATAATTTTACATTCAGCACTAAAAACTCACTAGCACTTGCGGAATAGCATTTTACAAGAAAGTATTAATTGCGGAGAGAAATGTGTTATTCGTTTGAGTGTACAAAAAGTTTTTTCCACATTTGAGGAATCGATCCCCTGATCTTAAATGACTGTCCACCTCTATGCCACCTGTATCCACCTGTATGCTGGAAGCTGACTTATGAACCACTAGGCTATCAATATTGAAAAGACCTACGACAATAAGGAACCGTGCAATGACAGTCAACCTCCTCTTCTTCTTCTGTTGACTGTTGGTATCTGACACCGTTTTAAAAAAGTTATTTTTAGTAAAAGATAAGGCTTACAACTTATAAGCTCTTTAGAGGTTAAGAAAGAAAGTTTGAAACTTATACTGCTTAGACTGCGTGATATACCCGTGAATGATGTTAACATATTCTAATAATCACACAATAGTGTGAATCTAAGCTTACATCTGAAACAAGAACAAATTTCTTACACTCGTTATAGATGATTCCAAAATCATCTATAGTGGGATTTGGTCAGGAATTATACACACTAATCTAATTTTAGGTACCTTTTTACTTTAATGTTAACCTTAACAGGTTAGTTCGAAAGACTGAAAAATATATTCTGGCAATTATCTTGAAAGAATTATAAACAGGTATACAGAGAGTATACATAGTGTGAAAATACAGCGAAAATTCCACATAATTTATTACTATATTTCAAATTGTAAACTAAATGATTTAATCTATATATATAATTTCAAAATTTCATTGTATTTGGATTTATAATGGCGCAAGTTCACGTAGATCTAAAAAAAGTAATTTACACTGATATATTCGTGACCGAAAGAAAACAATTTTTATTAAGTGTCCACGGTTGAAATAAATCACAGCTGGATAATGCAAGTTTTCCAACTATATATAATTAGTTATGTGAATTTATACGCGATAGTATATTCACTTTGAGACGTCCACGTTCGAAATTGCCAATTGAGACTACAAAATTTTATAAACAAATTATTGAATCACACGTGATGATTTTTAAACAGTATTGGCAAATATTTCAACGTAATCTAGGTAAAATTCTGTTTTAATTATGGTAGCCTGTTATGCAAATATAGAGAAATCAGAAAACAGATACTAGTCTGTGAGGTACGAGATATTTATCTTTCAACGGAAAAACACAATGGCAATTACCACGCATTAAGACTTAACACAAAGATTTAGATTAATCAAGTTGTTCCGAATTTTAGTTAAAGTTAGAAAATCTATATATCTAAAACAATTGTTTTATACTGAGGAACAACAATAACTACTAAGCTGCACAAGCGCACTGCAGCAAACAAAACCTCATAACGCTACAGCAATCAATGAAAAGGAGGTGGACTTTTTTAATTAGTTTATCATCTAAAATATTTCCTATCAATACTAAATCGAAATAAAAGCATCCACTAAATATTAATAAACGTATTTTTAAATTACGTCTCCACTATATCAATTTAGTACTCGTGTTTGGAAAGATTTGAATGAATCGATTTTATACGAAGAAAATCTGAAATTATATTCAAATAACATAAATAAACTGTGTATTATATATGCAAGAAGGTACAAAGTAATATAATGATCAAACCAATAAATTATTGAAACAATATGACTAATTGTTACAAAATGTATACAATAAAATACTTTGGATAAGTGTTAGTTTATAAAAAAACTGTTAGACGTGTGCATTTTGTTTTTAATGTGTGACACATTGAATTGTGGGTTTTTATATTAAATTGAAATCCTACTTAAAAACACTTAAATGAGTACAACTGACAAAAAAATTATTTTTAATATATGTAGTATAATATATTTTGAACCTGATTTTCCAACAGAGTCGACATCTACATCTAAAGAACAACTTCCAATTGAATCCGTACTGCGGTCCATTTGAATCCAGAGCAACTAAAATTAATTAATATTTGATGTCAGCGTACATGCCATGGTTGAATATGCCATATATGAATAAAATTCAATGCAATTTATTTATGTTTTAGTTGCATATAAAATGACTAAATTATCAAACAAATTTAATAGAAAGCGTGTTTTTATATTTTTAAGAAAGGCTTACAAGTAGAGCTCATAACAAGTCAAAATAAAATTACTCTTTGAATCATTTCATAGTTTTCCCTTACTTAATAAAATTTACACCATATATTTACTATAATTTAGCAGCCGACATAAAACAATTTGTTGATGTACACCGATACTGAACGATTTCTTCAATAAATTACTTCTGAAGTATCAACGTCGTTAAAACCACAAATATGGAACACACGACTAGAATTCGGAAAATACAATTAGCGCGAGACGAGAACCCAATCATCAATTGCATTTTTTTTACATAAGTTAAGAGGAGACAAAGTAATTTTTGTTGCTCTTTCATTTCATACCAACTAATAGAAAAAATCAAAAAGTCAATTTTTTTAATCCACTCTTGCTGGATTGAAGTTCAAATATTAAGAAATCTTAATATGGCAAAGAATATTAACTAGAAATGATAGTGAATCGAAAAAATACAAAAAAATATTGTGCAATAATGCGGATTACTTTACGTACTTCTTTTTGCCAGTCACTTTTTAATTTCTCGTCACTATCCGCTTGAAATAAATAGAGTTTACTTAATAATATATCACACAAAAAACGTAAATGTATAATTGATATATTATTTCATTTATACACATATATATTTTGTGTCTTGCATATAAAAAAAATAAAAACAAAGATTCCATTAAATACTTATGCGGCACTTACACTGGCCGAAAATGGCTCATTATGGCCAAAAATCGAAAATGAGAAGCGAATGGCTCATTTTTGCATATAAAATTTCAAGCGCGAATGAACCATTCCATCACATTCTGTATAAATGCGTCCCAACGACGTTCACATACGTTCCAAATATGTTTCAAATGCAGAGGAATACAACCCTAAATAAAAGCTCTTCATGGCATTTTGTCAGTTTGAGAAAGCTGTTTTTGACATATTTACAAAAAAGGTAAACAAATGTTTCGTGGTTGCATTTTCTTGAAAACGATACACCTCTTTTTAGAACTTCTACTTTCCTAAAAGTACTCAATCGAAGTTATAAATATGTTTTAAGTTTATATTGTAAGGTTAGAAAGCATATTTAACCTTCATGCAATATTTTCTTGGCACAGGCCAAAAATCAAATCAACAAACAAGTTGAAAAATCAACTGTTTGAAATGAGAACAAACGAATTACAATGAATGTAAACACTTTCAAATGGCTCATTCAAAATGAGCCATTTTCAGCCAATGTAAACGCCATATAACACTGTGTTTACAAAAATACATTCCACCTGCAAATTTTCGAGTAAATGAGAGAACCTGAGAGAGCGTAACATCCCTGTCGAAATTTAAAAATGCTACACAGACTTTACTTAATAATTTTAATTTAAGTAAAATTTATTGATGTGTGAATCAGCTGTTTTGGTTTGAATTTAAATTTTTGTAGTGTTTATTTACGCGGCACTAGTGTTCTCATCAGACTTTACACAAAGCCATTCCATGAAAATCTGTCCAAAGAGCGAAGTTTGACACTTTATTTGTGTTACGCTCTCAGTTTGTATTTTACTCGAGTTTTACTACGAGTGGCTCATGGAAGAGACCTAATGTTTCTATTTTCCCTTGTTGGATTTTTATTTTAGGGTTGTATTCAACATTTTTACCTTAAACGAGCTGATTTATATGTATGGTAAGTTATCCTCATTAACAGCTCTAATGAGCAAACCTACTTAAATGAAACCACAGAAAACATATTATTATATAAAAATGATTTAACAAAAAAATATTGTTGTACACAATAAATTTTCAAGCATTTTTATTTTCACTCCGGTTATGCAAAAAAAAAATTTTTAAGACTTTGCATATCGGTGTTAAAATACATTTACATAATTAAAACCAAATTTTGTAAACAGCTTTAATGTGTGAGGCTTCAGACAAGGTGATCTGTTTTCATGTGATCTTTTCAATTTCGTTATAGAAGTAATCATGCGCAGGGCAGATGATCATCGTAATGAAACAATATTTTACAAATGTGCCCAGCGCCTTGCAAATGTAAATGTAAGCAAACAACAGCAAAACGTAAACAAAGGCATTTAGGAAGTAAGTATTAATTAAAAGCTTTGTTTTTATTAATTGAAAATGTAATGGATGTATAATGATTTTGTATATCAATTACATATTTTATTTTTTTGTGGTATATATTATTAATTGGTTTATAAAAATTTATAAAAGTTCTATTAGCTGCATAAATCAGCTTAATTTAATATGAAAGTTCACTTAATAATACAAATGAGCAAGTGCTTAAATGAGACAGTGTGAATCCACTATTAGGGTACGCGTAGGGAAAATGTGAATGGAATTCCCTAAATTAAATATTTTTACATTATGTTTTCTGTTATTTTGCTAAGTACAATTGCAATTAAATGAAAAAATTTTTGACATAAAACTAATAAATATGATCTGCCCGATTCGATGACGAAATCGTTAGCATATTGCAAAAAGACAATCGCTTATTTTAAAAAGATGTATGATATAACATTACCAGCTTAAATCATCTTCAGAACTGCTTAGCCTCGCTTGTCGGTGTTCGACAAGCGATCAAACTATCGTCTTTCACCATATTTGAAAGCATAAAAAGAATTTCAACTATTAAGTTATACTAAAGGCTGATCAAAATGATATCCAAAATTTTTAGTCAGTTGAAAAAAAAAAATTTTTTTTTTCGATTATTAGATTAATATTCATATTTATGAAATTAATGTAAGTAGTTCATATAACTTCAATATATTTTTTTTAAGTTTTTAGTCAAATTTAAATAGCAATACACCGAATTTTCGCAAAAATGAATTTTTGTCATGCATCTAAACAATAGTTTTGAAATTATTTTGAGCGTTAAGTGCTGTCTCTTTTCAACATGCCTAAACACATCAGGCATGTTTCTATTGCTTACTTAGAAAGTTACTAAAGTAACTTTAAGATTTTATCGTTTCCATTGACATTAGTTACTTATTACATGTGAAACAATTTTTATGTGTCAAAAAATTCTTTGAAAGTTCTATTGGAGCTTTTGTTTGTAAAAATAAACTTCACTTAATAATATGAAGCACAAAAAATTAAATATATAATTGATATATATAATTATATCTATATATATATATGATTTACATATCTATTTCATATTCAATTAATAGAAACAAGAATTATAAATATTTACTTCTCAGTGTGTGTGTTTATAGTTCAGCTATTGTTTGTTTACATTGTACATAGAGAACATATATCAAACTTTGGTAACTCTCTTGTGGGAAATTTATTTTTAATGGTTGCATTCGATATTTTTTGTTTAGTTTATGGTACTTTATTTTCAAGTAAATTCAAAAACACGGAAGCTCTTTGTATGATTAACTAAATTTACTTAGTAAGGTCTACTTACCACAAATTATTGTTAAGTTAATTTTTTTATGCTTATATGTAATATTTAATGGAAACACGTAACATTTTAATTTACAAACACACTAAACTCAAACGATGGGACGATAATACTATGAGAACCTTAATCATATCGGCATAAGTTATTAACTTATAAGTTTAAAACAAAATAAGTTGTCAATTGAATAACTTATGAAATATAGCAGTTAGACAACGTTACAATATACATGAAAATTAGAGTTCAAACTGGAGATGATAAAATAAATAATGTAATTTTGGCAGTGTTTCTCAACAGTCAACAGTCAACAGTCACTGAAAACATTTTTGCTTTCATTTCATCAAGATAAATGATTTTAAATTAAACACATTACAAAACAAAGGAATATATATAAGATATTATTAGAATGTCAAAAATTATTGGAAATAATTAAAATTTTATGCAGCTTAATAAATACAACATAATAATTATGTATATTATAAATAAAATACATCAGTATGACTAGCGTCTTTTGAAAATCGAATGGTTTTCCTATTTTAAAAAGTGTTCTTTGACATAGATCATCTGTTTTTTAGTGTTGATAAAGTTTTACGATGCGGTATATATGTTAGTGATTCGTTTCATTTTACTATAATTCCGTAAGTTAATAACGTCCTTATTAAGACCGAATTTTTTAAAAGTCATAGGGAACAATGGATAATGTTTCTGTTGAAGAACGTTCACAGTCGAACAATTATGCCTTGGTAAGATTCCACGGATATTATAAAGCCAAAGCTAAGTGTGTTTTATATAATTGTTAGGCAAACTATAAATTTTCGTCTGAAGAACTACGAGTGTTGCGAGAATGCAGCACCGAATCTTTTTTGCAAAGGTCATTACCATTTGGAACTGGTTTTGGATTACTCGCGTATTTTGGCGTCAAACGGGGATATTTCCAGGTTAACTTTTAAGAAAATATCTCTGGTACAATTGACTTCATTAAATTTCTTAGCCTAATTCAAAATTTGGCGCGGTACCAAAAATTATACTGGGCGCAACAGTAGGGTATTTTTTGGGTAAATTCAGCTATCAACAAAAATGTGCGGAAAAACTTATGCAACTTCCAAATTCGAAATTGGCCGAAATGATCAGGCTGCGACGAAACGGTAAATTAAAGGATGGTTTATTATCTGGATTTTCATCAATCACAACTCCTAATGCAAACGACATGTATACAGATATGGATCCAAATGAGTATAACGTCCTAGATTTTGATTCTGACTCCAGATCATCTATAATGGAGCTTGATGATTTGTATCGTCCGTCATTAGATAGTAAGTATAATTTTGATAAAAAATTGATATTTAGATAAAATATATGTATTTTAGGTTCATCTAGTTCTTACGAAACAGAAATTCCTTTACCAGCTGCTAAAGCTTTTACAACTTACGAAGAACTTAGAAAAAAAAATCGCGAGGATTATATCAACAAACAAAACAATTCAATTTCTCAATCAATTAATCAGTCTATCAACACTAGAAATGAAGAAGCCTCTTTGGAATCGAGTCATAAAACAAGGGATCTTAACCTTCCTAAAAATCAAAAAAATAAATATGGTGATACTTGGACCGATTAAGCATCGTTTATTAAATTAGAAAAAAAAATTATTGTTAAATATACAAATTTATAAATTCAAATTGTGATGCTTCATTATAAAATCCGAAGATTGTTAGTTTTATTTCAGTTGGCCAACTTCGAAAAGATAAGCTCCAAGGAGTTTAGTCTAAAAGTAAAACAAATAATCATGGAAATCATTCTAGCACAATATTCAGTAGAGATATACTTACGCCCTCAATATAATTAAATATATCAATTTTTTCATTTTGAGAGTGTGCACCATCATCACAAGCACCAACTGGAATTAATATGACATTCTTTCCGGTAGCTTCTTGGAGCGTTAATGTAACTGGAATAGATCCTCCTTCGCGAGTCATATCTGGGTCCACAGAAAATACATGTTTTACTGCACGCTTTGCGGCTTCATAATGAGGATGATTAGGATCTTCAGTCCATGGTTTACCGCTGCTTGAAAGGTTTACCTAATTAATTTAAAATAATCGTAAAATTTGTGTTACATATATGAACTTGTTTTAATATGTACTTTCATTAAATTCGGTGATCCGCGTTCTTCCCATTTTGAATTCAAATATTTCACAACACACTCATTAATATGCTCTGGATCTTGATTCGGAACTAGGCGCATTGAGAATTTTCCAATCACTTTAGCAGGTATTACGGTTTTTGCACCGTGTTCATAAAAAGCACCTTCAATACCATGTATCGAGAGTGAAGGATACCGCCATCTATGCATCAGCAGTTTTGTTTTGTCTTCATTGTGGGGGAGCTTTCTAGTACCAATATCATCCCTAATTGTTTTTTATACATGATAAAATATGTAGTTTAATTTATATATATATACAGATATATATGTATTGAATATGTAATACCCATAATTAAACACACAATATGTGGCGTATTCTTATAAAATAAAAATATATTGAACTACAAAAAAAAATATTTTTGGTTTATCCCCCCTCAATATAATCCTGATTACGCTACTGCTTACTACCATTATGATTTATGTAACTACCATCCTTATCTTACCTGTAATCATTGATATCGTAGTCAATGTTATCATAAATTTGGTTTTCATTGTGTAACAAAGGTGCAATCTGAAACAAATTAATGCGCGTGCTGATTATCGTTTAATATGTTTAAGTTTTTTGTGTTACTTACGTCCCTTTCTATTCCAGGGATTAGTATGTTAGTATCTTTATCCACTAAACAGTTAAGAAGATAGATCAAATCAGGCATAGCTTCGTGGACAGTTCCTCCAAAGACGCCACTATGAAGATCCTTTTTAGCGCATTCTACTTCAAGTGTGTAATACACTAATCCACGAAGTCCATAAGTAAGACACGGTCTATTTTTACCCAGCCAATAATTATCAGATATGCAAACATAATCCACATTTGAAAGAAAAGTACTTTTCAAGCTTAATAGAAGGTCATCTAGACCTTCGCTACCGCTTTCTTCCATACCCTCAAATATAAATTTAACATTTACGGGCAGTTCAATATTTAAGGCTTTAAAAGCTTCAATAGCATGAATCCAACACAATACTGGACCTTTGTCGTCTGATGCACCACGGGCATATAGTTTTCCATCTTGGGTTGTCAATTCAAATGGTTCAGTATTCCAGCCATCCTCTTTCAGAGCAGGTTGTACATCAAGATGGCCATAAACAACGACAGTTTTCTTTTTTGGATCCTATATATAATAGATGAGCAATAAATTTTTCATAACGAATATAAAATAACTTACCGTGCCAAGAGTACCCAAGATTACTTTAGGTAAAGGTATTTTTTGGCCACTGTGAAGTGTTTGTGTTCCAACATCAGCTAACTCAACTTGCGTTCCTATATTACGGAGCTTATCAGCAGTCCATTCTACCATACGTTGAATTTCGTTTCGCTTATCAGGCCAAGCAGAAACAGATTGTATAGCGACAGCGACCTTTAGATTATTTATATACTCCTCTTTGTGAACCTCAATATAGCTGCAGTATTAAAAATTAAATGAAAATATAGCTGCAGTATTAAAAATTAAATGATGCAAATAATACGTTTGAATAGTGAAAACATGTCAAATAACGCACCTAAACAGATTTTTTAGGTCTTCCGGTAAAGCAGTCATCTTTTATTGTTTTTACAAGACAATAAAGGGAATTTAAATAACTTAATAAACGGATTATATCTATCGCGATTGAACCGATTTTTATTATTGACTGCTTTTCTCCGACTTACACAAGTATTTATATCCGGTAGAGAAAAAACCACAGATAAAGACCGGTGGATTTAAAAAAGCATGTTTTTTCATACGGACAAAAAACAGGTTACTCCCGATAAACATTGTATCGTTTTGAATAATAATAATGACTTAATGTACGAACAAAAGTGTTTATATATTTAAATATATAAATATATACATAAATATATAAATATATACCACATTCGTGATATTGTTGTATCACAATCAAATAAAGTTATGCATTTATATATGAAAATAACAAAAGCTGATATATAATTATTAATATAAGTATTTATCATCACTGTTGTTGCAAAAATATTTGCTATCCTAACAATTAAAAAACAGGTATGGAATACAATAACAAACGTAGTTACATTAGGTTAAGGTTAGGTTAATATCGTCGGTTGTAAGTCATACATAAATCTATTGATCCTTAGCAATGCCAAATGGAGCGAGATGTTTATATAGCTTTATAGTAGACATGATGAACGATTTTTACGACTAAATAAAGTTTGAAGTTTCACATCGCAACGCTCCAGCGTTCTAAATTGTGTAGGTTCCAAATATTTTCAGCGTGACCGTTACAACATAACACATAAACTGCAAAGATTTCCAAAATTTCCAAATTTTTTCAAAGATTAATATTTCCTGCCTTGTAGAATTGTAAAAGTATTGCAATCTTACTGTGTCAATCTTAGTACACTGGCCACCTGCGACCCGTTTATGTAACTTTCTCACTTTAACTTTAAGTGGGAAAGTTACATTAACGAGGCACTGATATCCAGTTCTCTATGTATATTAAATTCCAGTTCCTCTTCATTTATCATTTTTGATACATCTTGTATATTTATAGGTTTCATTACTAGGTTAAGGTATGAACGCTACGCTTTTGATTGTTGCGCCCAACATATTTTTCCTTGTGTTTGGTCTCCACCCCAAGATTGATAGGCGATAATCTGAGTATTGCCTTTAGAGTAATTTTTAATACACCAGTTATGCACAGACCTGCGAGAGCCTGATCTCTTCCGCTGTTTTGAGGTATGTGGATTTCATAATCAGAATATCATTGATATGACCATTTCTGTGTAGCATATAGGTATATATTAAATCAGGACATATAGAATATAACAAATAGCACATTCTTACATGCATATAGTGCATAATTTTTCTTTTTTCTCATTTCTCCTTTGACATTTTTAGAGAAGTGCAAAATTGCAAATCGTATTTAAGTTTTACATACCCATTGATATATTATATTACTGTAAGAGTATTGTTAATTATTACCCTATAAATATTATTTGCATCTGCAACTAGATTGGATTTTTTTTTAATAATTCATTAATAACGAGTGACCAGAGATGCTTTGTGGTTTACTCTTATATGCATAATTGTTAGTCCCAGCTTTCACGAAGTCTAGAGAATTGTTAATAAGCTCTGTGGCGAACACATTTGTGGCAGCACTTCACCAACGAATTGATAGAAAATGTCAAAAAGGAAAAACAGATGTTCGATAAATATTGTTGCGAGTAAGAAGCGTCGAGTCAGTAAACGATTAACTTTGTAAACGTACTTTGTAACTTTGTAAATGTACTTTGTAACTTTGTAAACATATTCAATAACTATTAATAATAAATTGAGTTTTAATAAAAAAATAAAACTTACATTGAAAATGTCGGTCCCTAATGAAGACCAAAAGAATGAGCATCACGTTGAAAATCAAAAAGCGCCAACTTTGTTAGCAGAAAACGGATCAACAATTGATGAAGTCAACTTAGTAAACATTCCCAAATGTATGCCTAGTGATCCCCAGCTTTGGTTCACTCATGTTCATTCTTGAAATGATAAACAGTCATGCAGAAATCTCTGACCGCATTCAGGACAGCACGCCTTCAAATTCCTATGTGATGACCATGGGGCACGAACATCATGCGCAAGCTACTTCAATTACAAACCGAAACAGCATATCTATGGAGAACCGAATTTCTGCAATTGAGACCACACTCAAAATTCTGGTAACCAAAATCGCTGAACTGTCTGCTACACTTTCCAAAAATATAAACAACGGACGCAGTTCAAGATGCACATCACAAAATCGTCGCAGACATTCAAGCCGCAGCAAGTCCGAATTGTGTCACTTCCATATAAAATTTGGTGCAGCAGCAAGAAAATGCGCACCACCATGTGAATTTCGTAGTACAACACAACAAGAAAACTAATATCGCTACCGTCTGGCTCAGCAGTTATCGGTGGCACTGGAAATCAATGCAATAAAGAACAAAGACTTCATGTTCGTGATCGCAGCACAAATTTCAACTTCTTAATTGACTCTGGATTCATAATTTCAGTATTAACTGTCACAGTCGTAAAATCATCACGTAATATAATTCCAAATGAATTAAAACTTTACGCAGTTAACGATACTACAATAACAGCATATGGTTTAAAAACAACAGTAAACTTTGCACTTCGTCGTCAATTCCAATGGAGTTTTGTAGTAGCTGATGTAAAACACCAATAATAGGTGCAGATTTTTTAGTACATTTCGGATTATTAGTTGCCGTAAAATCTAAGCGGCTAGTTGATACGGTAACAAATCTACATACCTGTGGTAAATGTATCTACTTATCTACAAGCAGTATATCTACGATCAGTACAACAACAAAGTACTACGATCTCATATCGAGCTTTATAAACCTTACCAAACCGATTTTAGTTCAACCGCAACTCACGAGACCAGTAAACCATCGCATCATAACTCCCTGCCAACCCATAGCAGACCGCCCACTTAGATAGGCTGATGATAAATTAAAAGCAATAAGAGAAGAGTTCATCATGCTTCTAAACCAGATCGGTTCTAAAACTTCTAGACCTGACCGGTATCCCGTTCCGTATCTAGATGACATCAGTGAAAAATTGAACGGTAAGCAAATCTTTAGCACAATCGACATTATTACAACATCCCAATGCACCCTGACGATGTTTCAAAAACAGCTGTTAGCACTCCATTAGGACTGTTCGAGTTTCTAGTAATGCCATTTGTATTACGAAATCCAACTCAAACATTTCACGGTCATATGGAATCAATTTTTTGAAACCTACCTTTTGTATTTTGCTATGTGGATGATATTTTAATTGTTTCAAACGATGAAAATGAACATAAACAACATCTACAAACTGTTCTGCAAATATTGTCAGACCTAAATATCAATATACCTAAATGTGAATTTGGTGTAGCAGAAATAATTTTTCTTGGATACAATATAAATAGACAAGGCATCAAACCGCCAGCAGATCGCATTGAAGTCATACAAAATTTTTCAAAACTTAATACAATAATGGAATGACCTCGCTACCTTGATAGGGTCAATTTTTTTCGTAAATGCTTACCCAATGCTGCACAAACATAAGTACCACTTAACAACATATGAAGGAAGTCCATAGAAAATAATAAAACTAAAATTTCTTGGAGTTTACCTCTGTCTATTGCATTCCAACAATGCACTGAAGACATCATAAATGCTTCGCAGCTGACGTTCTTGTCATCAACGGCCCCGTTGTCTCTTATTACAGACGCTTCAGATGTTGCAGTTGGAGCTCATCTCGATCAATTTCAAGACGGTTTATGGAAACCCGTTGCCTTCTTTTCCGCAAAACTTAACCCGACACAGAAAAAGTATAGCACACATGATCGAGCAATTTATCTTGCTATTAAACACTTTAGATATATACTCGATGATCGCCATTTTGTTGTAAGAACCGAACACAAGCCAATTATATTTGCATTCCGTCAAAAATTAGACAAAGCCTTACCTCGGCAGTTACGATATTTAAATTTTGTCGCAGAATTTTCTACATCTATAGTCATCATCACCTTCCTGGTTCCGAAAATTTAGCAACAGATGCATTATCCAGAATCTGTTGAATCATGATGCCTATAACTATAACACTAGAGGAAATACAGATGTACCAAGAAAATAAATCGTTTTTTGAGTGGACCACTGATTAGAAAGTGTGCCAGCGTTAACGCTTCGTAATCACTTGGATCACAAGAATGAGGTGCGGTTGGTTGCGAGCTTAAAATGGCCTCGATTTCAATCAGTGCCGTTCCAAGCTCCTCATACGTGTCGAGTGTTTGATAGTGTTCAGTAAAGATGGCCTTTCGCGCTTGTAACAGCCACTTCCTATAGACCCCCAAAGTGAGGCGGTATGAAATTCAAATTTATGAATTAATTGATGCAAAATGTCTATTGAATTGTTTGGTGGAACTTGTCCAATAGAAACCTTTTTAGCTCTGCTAGTTTGTTGTTAGCCCCAACGAAGTTTGTTCCCTTATTGCAGTAGATATCTGATGGTAAACCTCTTCTGCCTATTAGCGTTTTCAGTGCTGTAATGAATACCTCCGCTTACAACTCTGACACCGCTTCTGTATGAACTGTCTTAGTCGACAAACAAACGAATACAGCTATATAGGTCTTATATGGCAGCTGAGTCGAATCCAAAAATATTAATATCGGAACTTAAAAATCTACCGCGGTACGGGCGAATGGGCGGCTTGGAGTAAGATGTTCAATTGGTAGATTACCCATTATTTGGCTAAGCAATTTGGGTTTATATTGTACGCAGTCAATGCAATAATTAGTGCAATGCAATAATAAGTGAAGTTCCACAAAATAACAGTCCTTAAGTAACAGAATGAGGTGACATTGGCCGACTGAGTTGTCACTCAGCTCAAATTGACCTCCCACCTTTAGGAATGTATTGCCAGATATGTTTTCCAGGAAGGGGTTTAGATGTTTTAGTGTACCTTCAGCTGGGTTGGCCCGTTACAGGTGTTGTATATGGTTGTAGAAGAATTGCTTTGAATGATCCATGGATGGGTTGAAGGGCATTTTTTTCTCTCTTCAGTTTATTTCTGGTTAAATTATGAAATCACTCTACTTGCGCTATTACTCGTAACATCTTGGTGTATGAGCTGTATCTCGACATAACCTTTAATATATAGTTTTCTTCATTTTTGTGAGTGAATGCAAGCTTTCTCTTCTTTTTAATGACTTCTACCATATCCAGATTATTACATTCCAACAAAA